TATTTATGACCTGACCAAAAATTCGAAACCCTATTTATGACCTGACCCTAAAATCAAAACCCTGTTTCAGACCTGCGTTAAAATTAGTTCCCTAGTTCTGTTCAATGTTAAATTGCCATAAACATAATTTGTGAAAGACTTTTGTTGATTTTCTTTTCAATGATAACAAAGTGGCTTCTTCTTAAAAACATACCCATATCAAGGCTAGAGTGCAAAAACCATAACCTATTTCTGACCAAAATGGCCAAAATAAGCTAAAATCGATACCCTATCTATGGCCGAAACGGCTGAAAAACCATACCCTTTGGGGCTGCACATACCTATATAGCCCATATAAGGGATTACCCCCCCCCCCTCCCGGGGGATAAGCTCCAGCCTGATGAGTTACTTGACTCGCACGCATACTTTGTTACCCTGTACATGGAGACTGGCGTGCAAGTTCTGTTCATCTTACGTTACATCACCCACCTCGTGGCAAATAACCAACACGTTGGACTGTCTTTCTAGTTCCTGATAAGGAGACATTGTAATAATTTGTCAAGTGACTCTCACTCTAAAAGGTAGCTTGAAAAATCAATAGTTTAATTCTGACTATTTCATATCATTTGACTTACCATTATAACTGGTTCAAGTCGAGCACACACATCACTGTACGACTGAAACAGAACAAGACAAAGATTACAGTTCTCCATTTCTCCTTCATGTACATGTCAGGTTACATGTAACTCCTGATGTAACTCCATAAAATTCACAGCAAATCAACACATCAAGGGTTAAATTTGTATGCTAAACCAGCTACGAAAGATCTGCCGGAGAACAGTCCGTATCGCATAGCCAAACTGACCATTTTCCTTAGAAAATGAAGTTTTAATTTCCATGGAAAAATTTCCTTGTTACAGTCTCTTCTGTGCCTCATTTATAAGTAGAAAATAATTAACTTTACCTCTCCCCTGGGGTATCTGTAATTGAACGGATGTTCCTCTATAACCTTGTGTTCTTCAGGGTCCATCTTTTTTATTTCGTCCAAGGTCATACCATCATAGATGCCCTGATATTTATCACAATAGGTATGATAATTAACACTGTACTTATAGTTGCTACTATCTGATGCCAGCTACACTATTGACAGGTACAGATTACTCATTATTTGAACAATAATCAAGGCCTGATATGCAGCACAGGAAAACGTCAAACCACACTACATAAAACAGAAATGTCTTAGATTTAGGCCCAGGTCAAACGTCAAACTTCAAAAGAGATGAACAAAACTTAGCGATTTACTACATAATAAGTTCAACGTTTGACTCAACTGAGTTCGTCCGACTGAATAATAGGATGGACCAACACGTTCTATCCGTCTCAAGCAGACGATCTAAATTCGAATTAAGTTCCACGTTTGACTCAACGGTCGAGTTTCACCCATTTGGATCGACTCAAATTGCAATTTAGTTCGTCTCATGCGAAGTTTGACGTTTGACCTGGGCCTTAATGGTCTCAGAAACACCCCTGGTTGTCTTTTATATATGACTTTCATTAGAAAAATAAAACTGATGATTGAAGTAAATGTCTGGATCTCAAGCATGCTCCACATATTTAGAGACATTCTTAACCACGTTAAAAAAAAAACTGAAGGAAAAACTATTTTACTGAGTTCATCATTTCATCCACTAACTACAATAACTTACATGATCCATTTCATTGAGAGCTTTCCATCTCTCAATTGACACGACCTTGAGATACTGTGCAGTGTCCACAGCTCTTTTAAGTTGACTTGTCCAAACCTAACAAATAACACATATACCAGTCCTGTACATGCAGGCTCAAACACTTGGTACAACAAAAATATGTAAATGACCAGATAACAACACAAAATATACACTGTAAGTAACTTAAATGCAACATCACACCTTTAAATCTTTAAGTTTCTCATCCTCAATGAATCTTGCTAGAGCAAATGAGAACTGCAGGAAAAAAACATAAACATTTCATTTAATTGTGGAGTTGCATGTATATAATTGCATAAGGATGCTTGCACAAGCAAAATCACATATATTGTATAGCTTGTACGGTAGACAAATTTTTTTTGCTTCATTTCGAAGGCTATAAACCGGCTTTCTTCCTTTGTAGAACTTTTTAAACACGAAAATGTGCAATCTCCGCATTTGAACATCTGCACAAATTTAAATTTGTGTTAATTAAGTCCCTTATGAAATTATCAGGCTGCTTCAGGTATCTTTTCTTTTTCAACGCTGATTACTTAGGGTAAGGGAGAAAAAGCATAAATTCTTTCACCACAATTACACAGATTAATAACATTTGATTGGTCATTCATGAAAGCTGTGATAAACAGACACACCTCTTCTCCCCTGACTGTCAGATCTGAGTCGCCTCCAAGTCTTTTTTGAACATTGAATTCACTCTCTCCATGCTGAAAAAAAAAATACAAGGGAATTCACAAAGATAATTGTAGAATGTATTTTTCTTCAGTTTATATTTTTTAACTCCAGTGCATTATTCTGAGTATTTAATTTCCACCTCATAAATACAAATATTTCCTCAGGCCTGGATCTTAAGATACCAAAATTAGAAATAACATTGTTAGGGCCGATTTTAAATAGTTTAACCTTGTCCTTCATATATTTCATATATACTTGCAGTCTGTGCTGCTTGTGTTGTGTAAAAACTGCACAGCTTCCATCATCTGATGCTATGATATCTCGTTATTATAATGGTCTTCATGTTCAGTTGTACACCAAAATTACAAGTAGTAAACTGTAGGCTTGATATAGAATAAATGATTAATCATTGACAGTTACAAACTTGCAGTAAGCTTGTCACAACAATTAAGTTGCATTCAGGTTAAATTACTTACTATTCCATGTTTATTAACTGCCTAGGTACATGCAAGGAGGGTTCACATTTACAAAATTAATGACCAACCAAGTTAAACACAGCTTACCCTTGCAAGATATATTGACCTTTTCTTGATGTGCGAGTTCATTAGAAAGTAGACAACTCTACTCTGAAGGTAACCTGAGAAACAAGGGCAAGACCAAAAATCAGTTTCTTGATAATAACAATAATCTAACTTCTGACCAAAACATGATTCTGACTGGTGAAACAATAAAGCACTCTGTCTTAAAACATTCATTAGTTTCTTTATCCTAAACAGGAATACTCATTCAATCATTTTTTCCTTCCATTTTTGATCCACTCTTCAGTTTGTTCAAGGATTCCTCCCTTTTCTCTCTATCCTGTCATGGCCTTTTTCCTTCTTTGCTCATTCACTTCCTTTCTCAATAACTACATGTACCTGCCTTTTTTCTTTGTCTCCCACTTTTATCTTTCCCTTCTCTTTCTTTTCTTCTTTCTTTCATTCATTTCTTTATCTATTCATTAATTCATCTGGTTTTTTCTTCCTTCACAAACAGGAAACCATTAGATACTAACAATGTTTGATAATTATTTTATTGGTACATGAACCTGGTCTGATAATTTACATACCACCCCATTATTGCTAAATGTAATTTGTTATCAAATACAGATAGTTAGTTAAGAGCTTTTATTACCGTCAATGTTGTTAACAAGGTATTGCTCTCCTGCATTAATGATCTTGATAAATGAAAGGTTTCTTAAACATAAAACAGACGTTCAATTTAATAGTTATGTAACAAGTAATTTAAAGCAATTTGTCACTAAGGCAGTCCATACAAACAATATTATATGCAATAACCAACTTGCTACCATTTGTTAATGTTACATTTTGCATTTCATTTTCAATTGATGTGCTATTTTAAATAGAGGGGAACATTTGGTTATGAAACTCACCAAAGTTCTTTGTTGGATGTGTTCTGTTCTCTTTTTTGGCCTTGACCGAACACAAAACACAATAGTTGGTTACTACTGACCGAGGAACTAACCAATAGAAACGTTTTGGTTATGTAATTGTGCACAGTCGTGGACATTCCAACATAAATCTTGTAATCTTTGTTTACTTCTTTGATGTTTGCTGGGTTTCGTAACCATTCCCCTCTATTAACTAAGATGCAATTTAGTCGCAGCAGGCACATGTGGGTTGTGGTTCTCTTGGTAGATTTTGATCCCTTGAATCTTTTTGTTTTCAAAGTTCATTGATTGTTGCCATAATAATTATTATGACTGACAGTAGCAAAATAATGCATTTTTTTTTAAATTTTACTTCAGAGTTGTATTTGTATTGTTGTGTTCTTTATTTCTCCACTTGATGACATGAATACGATATTGTTAACAAATAGGTCCAGTGAAAAAGAAGTAGGAAGGGCAAAACATACTAAACTAATTGTATGCCTTAAATTAAATGCAATCATTTATTTTAGGACAAAAGAAAACTAGAAAAAGAGAGGAAAGAGTAAACACATAGTAAATAAAATAATGTCAACATTATTAATACTGAGCAAAATAAATCTGGTGAAGTGCTTTTTTAAATAGTTTTCTAGTTGGCTTATTACGTATTACTTCAGGGTTCACATGATTTTACAATAAAGCAAAGTACAGTAAATCAAGAGTTTCAACTCACCCCTCCTTCTCTAGAGAGAGTGATTGATAAGCATCTTCATAATGCTTGATCCGTTCCCTGAAGTCCTCAACAGCCATGTCTCTATCCACAGTCACGTAATCAGGACTGAAGACCTTCACTTCCTGTGGGGGTAAGGATGAAGCAGGCGAGTCCACCCACACTTCCCATAACTTAAATTCCTCTTTTGTAAGAAATTCATGTCCCATTACCTTGAAATTAAGATCAAGAACAAAACATTTCATTATTTAATTCCTTTACTAACATCTACTTTGTCCTTACAGATGCATGCTATGTAGTGCATGTAACAACATCAGTTTTAGTGTTTAATATAGAAAGCAAAAAGACTGAAGATCTGAGTTATTTCATTAATACAGCTTGGAATAATTAAATTATGTGATTACTCTTCAAGATAAACTAGTGTCATCAATTTTTAAGGTTAGGGTCTTAGACTTCATGCAAAGAACAGTACATTTCCTGTGTAAATTGGCCATTTCCGAGGTGCCTTTTGCCTTTGTTTCAAAGTAAGTCTTCATGTGAAACCATCCAAGAAAATGAAAATGTGTTCAACCCACATGCATGTTTATTCTCCTGCAAATCAAACTCAGTTTCGTATTGATAAAAATTTTGCATGAGGACTTCTTTTGAAACAGAGGCACAAGGTAACTTAGACATGGTCTATTAAACTGACATCATGTCTTGAATATATTAAATGTTACGTCATAAATGATTTCAAATGAAAGTTAATGAACAAAGAAATGAACTTTAATGAATGAACAAAGGAACATTGAACAATTGAATAAACAAAGCAACGAAAGAATAAATGAATGACAAAAAGGAATGAGTCAGAGTGGATGACTGAACAATGAACAAATGCATTAACAGATGAATGGACAGACAGACAGATGGGAAGAAGGACAAGTGAACAAGTGAACAAATATAAATAAAAGAAAAAATAAACAAATGGATGGACAGAGAGACAAACAATTGAAAGGATCAACAGATAAATCAATAAAAGGTATGAATGACAAAGGAAGTCACAAGAATGAATGAGAGGTTCAAAGAAAAAAAACAAAGAAAGAAATTACAGCAAGGAACAAATCATTAATGATCAAACCAAAGAACAAATGAATGAATGAATGAACGAATGATCAACTGCACAAGAACAAATAAGAGAACAAAGAACAAATGAAAGAGCATTTCAAAAACAACAACAACAACAACAACAGAATGAAGGACAAAATAGATGAATGGAGAAATAAACAAAATACAATAAGGACAATACCAGACTGGCATCAAGATCAGTGGCACCTATTAAGTACACACACACTTTAACAAATTTCTGCTGGGACTAATAAAATATTACAGGAAATTAATCTGCAAATCAGGGAAACTGTCTGAAATGAGAAATGTTAAGCATAATGATTTACAGTCCTTTTGAAGGAAAAATGGCTGCTGGTTNCAACAACAACAACAACAACAACAGAATGAAGGACAAAATAAATGAATGGAGAAATAAACAAAATACAATAAGGACAATACCAGACTGGCATCAAGATCAGTGCTGGGACTAATAAAATATTACAGGAAATTAATCTGCAAATCAGGGAAACTGTCTGAAATGAGAAATATTAAGCATAATGATTTACAGTCCTTTTGAAGGAAAAATGGCTGCTGGTTTATCTGATGGTGATTTCATCTTGATTTACCAATCAAGTCAGGTTTTCACTGTCTCAGTTTAGTTTGGTTTTCTTAAATTGTTTACTTATGGACCAAATTGACTTTATGTTTCAGTCTGTTTTGCACTTCCATTTAAATAAAATAATGACAAAGATTTAGATTTAGATCTTCATGCCATCCACATGTATATGTACAGTTTCCATATGATTCAATCTTGACCTTCGTAGCTATTTTACTCTGCACGCCAGATTAGCTTACCAATAACAATTATAATAATTATCATTGGAATAATTATTGGAATTATTCTAATGTTTTTATCATTAGTCAAAATAATTTTGAATAGCTCTAGTTTTGTACATTTCTGGATTGTAGATTCTGTACATGTACTATTTAAACTGTTAACAAGTACAGAAAACATGATCCTATCAGTGTTGGGTAATATCTGACAATCATATAGAAGACGACATACAGTAGTAGATCTAGAGGAGAAGCACAATATGTCACAGACAGGGTCACTGCACTGTGTTTTTGCATTGCACTCATGACACTTTTCTCCTTTCAGAAATATATATGGGAACCAGCTTATTAAAAGCCCAAAAGATATCCTGGAATGAAATAGCATGCATCCAGGGTAGAGCAGAAATACTGCTAGAAACCTCATGGTATAGAAATTGGGGATTAAAGCACTAGCTGGCAAGCCCAGAAAGATATTATGCTTGATTGAAGACTTCTATTCTTGTGTACCTCACAGTGTGAGGTACACAAGAATAGAATAGGACAGACAATGGAAGTCAGAAAACCAGAGTGTTAAATTCACAGTCCTTAACAAGTTGCATGATCAAACACAACAAAAGGCACAGAGAGAGCACAGAGGGAGAAATTCAACACTCCTCACAAATGCAGAGCAAATTGCTTATTCACAGACTGAGTGAGGTCAGGCCAAACAGGAAAATCATTGGCTTGGTCAGGATGCACGTCCTGACCTCAAGCCAAATATTTTCCTGTCCAGCCCTCCCACTCAGTCAATAAGTACTTATAATCCCTTCTTGAAAACTCTTAGTGATGTAGAAACAAACCTTAATATTTGCTGCTACTATATCTGGGTCTTCACAAATGGATTCCATGAAAAACACCTCATGAAAGAAAAGAATAAAATATATCTAATGTAAAAGGCTTCAACTACCCCAAACCCTAACCTGGATTTAAGTGGTATTAATAGTTAATACAAGTTAATGCTGAGCATGTATTGTACATAGCTAGGAATCGCATTTCATTTTTGGAACCTTGTGTGTCGTATCATTTGGTTTGCTCGCTCCATGAGTTATTGTATTTCCCATCCCTTCCCTCGCTTGGCAGTTGTATTTGTCCCAAATGGAAAATATATGTAGCTGCCCAACGACAGCCCACACATGCATGATTGTTGTCTTTATTGAATGATTAAAACTTTCTGCACAACTCATTCTCCACTCAAGTGTATGAATGGGTGCATGCCAGTAAATAGTTATCATGGTAAACAGAAAATAAATGCATTTAATATATTAAGCTACATTACTTACAAAACATTTCTGTGAAATTGATAGTTTTATGACACCCTTGAGGGTATAGAGATTCTATCAAGCCATTATGGATCTCGTAAGAGCTTTGGAGCTACTTACACATTCTATATTGTTCTTTAAATATTTTGGATGCTTAAACTTTCTGACGCTTAAAAATTTCAGATGAATTTAATTTCAGATTGTTTTTGTCTGTGATTAAAATTGTTCTAAATTTTTTTTCAAGTAATGTATCATGATATTAGGCAGGCATCCACCCAAGGAAGTAGCAACACTCTTCACACACAATATCTTTACCATGGACAGACTTTAACTAGTGCTAACTACATTTTTGGAAAAAGAAAGATGCAACGTGGGTTGTGTGGGCTGGAGGTAAGGCAATAGCAAATGACAACAAAGAAACTGAGAATTATATCCAAATCAAACATGATGTCACATTGTAATGTAACTTTAGATGTTATTTACATAGGTAACAATAGACAGTAACCAAAATTACTAATAAACTAAATGTGGCCTTCTACAAAGTAGACATTCCAAAAAGCCATGTGACCTAGACCCTTCACACCCTAATACCCATATGGGAAATTAAAAAAAAATGTGTTTCTCACTTCTGCAATCAGTATATTCCAGCCAATGAAATTCAAAACAGTCTACAATGATGTAACTCTACAGATTGTGAGTCATAAGCACCACCAGATTGGATTGAATTCATGTCCATGACTGTACAATGCATATTATAGCAGAGCTCCGGCGGCCTGAAGGGCCGCCAAGTGGAGCCCCATACTCATATAGGAAAGAAAAAAAAAAACCCATGAGTTGATTTTCTCATGGTTATCATGGCTAGTGGTATTGCTTGTGGGCACGTACACAGAACGGCGACGACGGTGACAGAGTTGCCCAATATGGCAACCATACTCCAAATAATAGGTTGACAGACATGTAGCCTTGGTTTACCGTGTACTTCCTTGATATTGGACATCCATGTTATGATCAACTGACACCTTTCAAAACAAGGTATCTGCTGACCAGTATCACGTGACCATATCGTGGGCTCAAGTTTAAAGCTCCTCGAGGTCACGTGCTTTTTTTAAGTTGACCGCTGACCATGTGCTGGTTATCGATTGGATCATGGGCTCATGTTAGGTTAACTTGTTGGAAACAGGGCAGGATTGCTCAGAAGCCGGTTAACACTAACCCAGGATTAAAAGTTAACCAAATTATAACTTTTTCTTCTATACAAATGTTTTTTGCTGTTTTGTTTTGTGTATAGGGTGACTATGAAAACTCAAAACAGAAGGCCAAACAACATACAAAAAACCTCACCGCAAAGTTACAAAACTCAAATCAAAATTCTACCTTTTTCTGGGTTAGCTTAATCGGGCTTTGAACAACCCGATCCAGGAGCTATGCCTTTAGGCTGGCCTAAATCTATATATTACAGATGTCACCATCAAGAAATAAGAAGCCCATCTCACCTTGAATCCACGGGTTTTACAGAAATCCATAATCAAAGCTCTCCTCTCCAATGTTGTATTTGTGGCATCAAATATCTACAGTAACAGTGTAAGGATGTTGATTCAACGTAGAAATGATTTTAAACCCTTAGTTTAAATTTAACAATTAAAACCAAATCATAATGTACTTACTGCTACTTGTCCTCCGCGACTCAAAAACTTGCTGACATCTTCCAGGCAGGCTATGGCACACTGTCTGTTATTTTACAATAGAAATGGACAAATTATTTAAGGGTAGAAAACGAATCAGACTGTTTGCATGGCTTGTAGTTTATTAAATTGTATACAAATTTAGTCTGGCCCTATACCTACTTAGGGTTATGGTCAAAATCAATCAATACAAATTTAGTGACAAATTCATCAAGTAGGTTCTTCACATCACCTGATCTTATCAATACAGAATATGACAACAAGATTCTAACAGTTTCTGACTAAGTTGCATCACTATATACACGTACAAACCTCCTAATTGTCTGTGCTTCAGTGTTGTCCACTCTGAAAAAGTCATGCAGCTTATCTGAACCAACAGCTCTTCTTCTGTACTCACCAACATTAAATACTTAAATATAAAAAAATAGTCAAACTTAATGAACATCTGCAGGTTTTGTTTCTTTACAGTCATAATCTTCCACATTTTCTTGTTGAATAAAGGGTTAAGGATGTCAACAGAATTGTGCAAAGCACTGCACTTCTTTACCAAGCAACTGAAATGAAACATAATTATTATAGTTAATAATACTAGTATATTATTTCCTTTCTTTACCTTTCACAAAAGAAAGAAATAAATCACAACCATTTCGTTTCAGATCCTTGAGTTAAAAGATGCTGTAGGTAACATTTGAACATGTACATGTATACATGTATGTATATCTCTACCTTTGTATTTGACAACCTCCTGGTAGATTAGCAGTGGATCACTCACAGTCATTTGGGGTGGATACAGGATTTTAGAGAAGGGGGTTTGAGATACGGACCACCAAGGGTGGTCTTCTGAACCTACATGTAGGGGAACCGAGGGCATCCCTGACTGTAAAATGGTTCAAATTGAGGTCCTTGGAAATGGGATTTCCAGCATTAAACCAAGTCAGCATGTTGTAAAGTCTCTACCGACCCCCCCCCAACTCCCTCAACTCCCCCCCCCCCCAGATCTGCCCCAGGTCCTGTAACAAGAACTGGAGATGTCAACCACTCTTAACTGATAAGATAATTATACTGTTAATTGAAATGTGTCATAAATAACTAAAGTTCTACGTAGTAACCTTTAGTTTTGATGCCAATCCAGTTGAGATAACGACCCAATTTTTTAGCCATGTATGTTTTTCCCCTTGCTGGCAGACCAACAAGTGTGATAACAGTAGGCGCATTGACAAAACGAGGATAATATTCAGGGTAACAAGTGTCTGAAAAAAAAAAATAATGTGCATAAGTCGGAATGAACAAAGATATTCATTCGATAAAGACATTTTCCCCGAAATACATATACCTGAATCTTCTCTCACATGTATATTCAACTTTTGATAAATTATATCTAAAATGTTCAATTGGATTTGCATTTTATACACAAAGGTAAAAATTAAGTAGTCCTGGGTCAGGTTGTTAAAAAGCTGGATAACACTAACCCAGGATTAAAAGTTAACTGAAGTTTTAGTTTTTCTTGATGTTCAAAAATGTTTGTCACTGCTTAATACAAATGATGTTGTGTAGTTTGAGATTATTTAAATTCAAAACAGAAGGACAAACAATAATTATATTTATAAACAGAAAACCTTACCGAAACATTAACAAACTGAAATCAAAATTCTCGCTAAATTATCCTGGGTTAGCTTAATCAGGCTTTGAACAACCCGGCCCTGCTGACTAGGCTTGCTGTGTTATAAAGAAACCTCACGCAGATATTTCTTATACCTACGACGTGTAGCAGCACAGTCAGCATTTCAAATGTTATTTTGGTGAGTTCCAGATAATGCTCACTAGGAAATTGAAGAGGGGTCTGAAGGATTTCAATCTTAGTACCGTTAGTACCGTAATACCGTTAGTTTATTAGTTGTCTCCAGTCATTGTTGTCAATTTTAGTCTCTTTAGTTCTCTTGTTGCCTTCAGTTGTATTTAGTTGTACCTAGTTTGTACATTAATAATTCATGTAAACATGACCCACCTAGATTAGCTCAGCTATCCTCGGGCATGTTATAATTGCAATTTTAATTTGAAAACAAAGATAAAATGTATGTATGTAAATGTATGTATGTCTTAGAGGTACAGAATGTCAAAATCTGAGACACCTTGAGACACCAAGACCTTAATTTAAATTCTTAGACTCCGGCTTAAAAATAACTATTTTAATTTTTAATCTGGGTCAGAGAAGCCGTGATTTCAATACATACCAAAATTTTAAAGAACATTCTTTATCCCAGATCTTTCAGAAACAACAAAATACCTTCTGGCAACCATCAATATGGCAGAACTGCCATAACCAAACAAGGAAGCACAGAGATTTCAAACCAAAACAATGTAATATAGGATATACATGTAGCGTTCTCTGGCAAAAAGTACTCAAAAACATAAGCTTATGACAGCTGGTCTACTGTCTTTGACAGATAAAAATTTGTGATAAAATGAAACATTAAAATATGAATATAGAGGGTGAATTGCATAAATTTAAAATTACTGCACATATACAGAATGTTCAAAAGAATGTTAAAAGTGCTAATTAATGTTTGTTTAAAAGATGCTGCATTGTCTCAGCAGTGGGCATGAGACAACCCTAAGAATGCTCAGGCTCATCAATAACAATTTTATGCAGTCCTTCATTTATGATATCAAGTTGACGGAGTGGTGGAGTATAATTATAATACAAAAATAATATTAGTATAAACAGTCATTTTGAACATTAGTGACTATACATTGTATTTCCAGTCGAAATAAAATCATGCCAACAGACCGAAGCAAAAGTGCAAGATTCTAAGCTAACCATTCTTACATGTAGGCTAAGTTAAATAAGCCACTAGGATGCAAAATGTCTGTTAATATGCAATATTACAATGATTACTGACTGATAAATGTTCAAAGAAAGATACATGACTAAAATGTCTAAACCCAAAATCTCATTAGTAATACTTTATTTTAAGCTCATGTTATAATTATTTTCCTGATAAACTCTATCAGCAAATTAGATGTACCAGTAAACTTTAACAATAAAACATTGAAAACAAATCCACAACACTTTGGACTCTATACTATACATTGTAAATGTTATTATTTGCATGTAGAGGCCTTTATAGTTTCTGAAGGATCAAGGAAAATGTTTGGCTGCACAAAATTAAGTAAGCTTTTTAAATTTGCCATGCTACAGGTGAACAGTTGCATGTAGGTGTAAAGTAGTCTATTTGTAAGTTTATGTGCTAGTCAGAGAGTAAATTCTCAAGGGACTAATCTTAAGGACTTTAACAATATTTAGTTAAACATTACAGCATACAGGTATGTCAAGACTGAGAGAAAGTTGCATGACTCAACAAAACCTGCATTCTTGTACACAACATCCTGGTTTATAGTTTCCATTGTTGATATCTGTAGAACACAAGCTTTGTAAATGAAATATACTCCTGCGACATGTAGAAAGTAAGTAGTTAACATGCAAAGCTCTAAACAAGCCAGAACAATTAGCATGCAAATTGCTGTCATCCCATGAATATCTTTAACCACAAATTAGAGACAGAGGTTTCCAATTAAAAGGCATGATGCATGAACATTCTGAACAGCACCTGAAAACACCATGGAAACTGTTATATATAATAATGCCCAAAACACAATAGCAATGGCAAAGAGTGTTTCATTTTAGTTAGTATCTTTTAAAATACAAACGGAAATAAAAAGAAAAACTTTACTGCTGCATGGCACTGTACTAGACGTGTTTAGTTATTAGCATATATAGTTATTCAGTTTGTGAAGCTCTAATACACCTTGACAATAACTTCTATTTAAAGTGACAAATGGTAAAACAGGAAATATTGAATATGTAGTGATGCATGGAATCAGACAATATCAAGACAGGCCTTGACAAGAATGACTAAAAATGTTCTACATGTACCAACCAAATGGCATCTAAACAGAAATTTAAAGTACTTCAGGTAAACTTTATTTAGAGTTCTGTTTTAACAATTATTAGAAACATCAAAGCTACACAAACCACATTAATTACAGGCTAGAAGAAAGACAAAATATTGCCTATATTGTTTTAAGAATACACAGCCAAGTATCCTGTTTTCTGACACAATAAATTATTCTAACTTGGATTTGCTGACAATCTGTATCATTTCCAAACTTCACCAAATTTGAATTCTTAAGGTTACTCCAAACCTTTGCAGGTGTCTTCCAGAAAAAATTTGTATGTCTGCTGTTTTCAAGGAAACCCCCACACACTACGTATCAATAGTAAGAAAAGTTACGAGATGTAGAATTGAATGAAAGACTCTGTTTTGCTGATAGTTTTCATAAGGTGGCAGAAGCCGTTAACATCAAAACGACCGACTGAAATTCCGGCGAATTAATCAGGTATCAAATGCGATCGTTGATGCAAAATAACTGTTGATACAAAATAACTGTGCAAAATAAATGTGTCAGCATTTTCTTTTATTTCCATTGGTTACCTTTTTATAGATCTGTCAAGTTCCACAATCGAAAAATTTGCATAACGTGTTGTGTTAAAGGTTGTCACGAGAAAAGTATTTAAAATAAAAGAATTCGCCGACAAACTTTTGTTCCTTTTCCATCAATGTTCTGGCCAAATGATACAGAAAACCATCAATTAGGGGTGGCGAATGGTCCTTCAAAAACCATGGGTCTCCCAAAATGTTCACGGAATTTCACTGGTCTCGCAGTCTCATTTTTTAGCGGTTATGTGCGTCTCGCAGTCTCGATTTTTTTCAAGGCTAAAAAAAGTCGCAAAGTAGTGATTTGTTTATTTTTGTTTTTTAGTAAAGTTAAATGACATCACAACATCTTAGACCCTGAACGTCTCGAGTTCGCATTTAAAACACTTTAAAGTCTCGGTCTCGCAATTGAAGAAATCAAAATGTCTTGGGCTCGCAAAGAAAAACACTAATCTCGTCGCCTTGCAAAGTCTCGCATTTACCATTCGCCACCCCTTCAATTCTACATACCCAATTAATTCATTTAAAGAGGAAGGATTCTGTCAAAACAATGAGTGCAAGTTTTTGCCTTCTAGAGATTTATAAACATGTCACGCCTTCTCAGAGGGATATGTCAACTCAATAAGCTGCCAACCAATGAAATAACAGAACCCCTAGCATTCACAGTATGCAAACGGGAGCTTCGCAGGAAAGCGATAGTGTTACATTCACGTTTTAGGCGCACACATTTTAGGCCATTGGCCAAAAATAATTAGGAAAAACAGAAGGAAAGCAATGTGCAACAAAACAAAAAGAAACTGAGGAATCAATTGCCAAAGTAAGATTACACGGAGGCACTCTTGATGGACATGAAATCTGAAATTGGAAGTATTTGATAGGATGTCTGGATTAAGCTGTTTGCTGCAAAAAGGTCGCTGAGGAGTCCATGCCTTTTGGAGATTATGATACCTTGACAGTTAATTAACTTTTATTAGAAAATCTCTTTTTCCCAATAACTCGTGCACGTTTTAATATTTTATTTTCATTTTCGTGAAAAATGTTACCCCAAATAATGGAATTTAATTTGGTTAAAAAAAAAGAAGAAAATTTACCAAAAGTGGCCCCACTAAGGTTTGGAGTAACCTTAAATTGGTCACAAAACTTAAAGCTTCTCCCCCAAACTATTGTGCAGCCAAAATGCGAAAACTCATGACTCATATTAGAATACTTGCTACACAGTCAGGTGACGTGAACAGTCTAGACTTGAAATCTGGAAGTGATGGCTTCACATCCCATACAACCTGACCACAGCTGGCTGGTGTTACTTCTCATGATCAGACCACAGCAGACCCAAGTTCAACTCCTTGGCCATAATAAAATACATGTAAGCTTGTAAATTAAAGAACCTGCAGGTCTGCCTACTGCCAGTTGGAACTTTTGACAATAATAAATGTGTGTTCATTTACAATTTTGTTAACTTTACTTTTAACATTATGTCTTTACCTTTGGCTCTGAAAAGTTCCACCAGGGAAATAGTCATTCTTGAGATACATTTTATAAGAAGGTTTTATGGCACAAGCAGTAAAATGCAGTTAACGGTCAAATGAACCAAAATCTAAATACTTTTTTCATTTGAGTTCAATGTATTCATTAAGTATAAAATAAACATATTCTGAAGTTTCAAACGAATTGGACGTAGCATTGTGAAGATATTGGAATGTTAAAATCACTGTTTTTTATCCTTCATATTTGTAGAGTGGTCAGGAAAATTGTCGGATAATTGTTGGAAATAAAATTGGTGACATCCCTGTTGATGAGCTCAAGAAATGCGGTACATTTGAAACTGTTTTGGTTTCAAGTTCACAGTGACCTTCAGAGGAAAACCACTTAAAATCAAAAGTTAGTAATTTCAAGTTCCCCCAGGACCCAAAACTTAAAAGAGAATGGCTTAGAAAAATAAAAAGAGAATGCTTCATGACCTCAAGGCATTGGCGCGTTTGTGTAAAACATCTTGTAGTAAGGAGTTTGCTGGGACCCTCTTTGAAGCTTCGTCAACTTGCAGTCAAGAAAGACGCAGTACCGACGATTTCTAACGTCACTATTGAATGTTGCAAGCCGGCAATTGGACAAAAAACAACAAAAACAAGCCAACGAAAAAAAAACAACAACAACAAAAATAATGCCTGCCGAACAGTGGGCGAACTCCTCGGCCATTTCCCAAGTAAAATAAGGTTTGTATTTAGATCCAAAAACTTCCCCACGAAAGACTCATTGACACAGAAATGCAGCAATGTTCAAGACAACAATGACATCACAAAACAGAGTCTCAGCTCCATTCCTTCCATTAAAGTGGGCAGTCATTTTGGAAACGTTTTTGTGAAGCCATCGCCTGTCTTCGTACTTTTAATGTTTTTACTCCTTTTCACGGTTCAAAAAGAAAAATTTCCGCATAAGTTTCCTTTTACATGTTTTCTTTTAACATTTCGTCGCTATAAAATGGCTGAAGAAAAGATGTCTAAATTTTGGTTCATTTGACCTTTAAAGGAGCGTGATGTGCAAACCTCGGAAACAGTTAGTTATTGTATTTAACTATGTTGAAGAACGCTATCAAATTATGTTTGGCACCCGTAGAGATCGAGTGAGATCCTTGAATGCTTTGTGTCAAGTGTTGCAAAAGATAATAACAAACAAAAGTGAACTCTCATGGAACAGGGACATTAAATGAACTTTTAGTGGCCCAGAACAAACAAAACTGGCCCTCAATTTTCTCTAGTCTAACATGAAAAATACCCTTCGAATAATTTGATATTTATTTGAACACAATAACAATAACAATAAAAATAATAGCAATTGCAATAGCAATAGCAATGGCAATAGCAATAGCAATAACAATAACAACAGCAACAGCAACAGCAATAGCAATTACACATGTAGCAATAGCAATAACAATAACAATAAAATCTTTATTTATCGCTGCCTAAAAACTACCTAAAAATATTAGATCTGCAAAAACTTTGAACAACTTTAACAGCACTATTAGAAAGTTTGATGTTAGCTCTCTGCTGGATGACAGATGTATGCGTTGTTCTTGCTGTTCATCTATGTAGTTAGTTGTTAAATAACTATTAGGTGATAACATTATGACAGTATTTATCAACAAATTAGTTTTTTTTTCTTTTTTTGATTCAATTTTTAATATTTTAATATTTTCTTAATTTCACTAAATCTTAGGTGAATACATTTTACTTTATATTTTAGTCTCCCCAATTAGTAGAGCACTTGTGCTCAGCTATTAAGATTGAGACTTAAATAAAGTTGTCATTCATTCATTCATTCATTCATTCATCCATTCATTCATCCCTGACAAAAACCGATCAGCAGAACCTAAGGGAGCTGCTGCTATAAACCGGTGATCAGCAATATAAAATATATTCATCTAAAAATATATCAGCATCTTAAAGCAAAAAATAATAATTATATAACACATGTAATACACAATAATATTAGAAGAATATTGAAAATCAGAAAAATATGTACACACTAACAAGCACTACAAGATTGTAATGAACCGTAAAGTTCTCTTTGAAAATCAGAAAACCATGAACACTTTGATTTGATTTTGACATGTCAGAGGTGAGACAAATAGCTTTATGGAAGAGTGCAGTAACACCCTTAGTGCTGTTGCCATGACAACAGTTTTGCTATTGGTGCTGTCTTAATAAAAACTGAAATTCCCGGTTTTTGTCTTAAACCAAGAACCATCTACCCCACCCAATCTAATGATGGGAGTTAAGACAATATGGGAACTATGTCTGTTCCGAGTAGGACCCTTTGTCTCACTTTAGAGGTTGCAAATGGGGATATTTGGTTTTTTGACAGAAAGAGACTGGAGCCGAAGGAGCTGCTATGGCAACAGCACTAAGGGTGTCAATTTGTTTCCTTTGTGATGCACATTTGTGGTACCAAGTTTCAAGAACAGTGTTTCAATATTTCTAGAGATATTGTTTATTCAGTATTTTACCATTTTTTAGTTGTAAACAATATGATGTCATCATTTGCATAATAGAAAAACATCAATATCTCTAAAATGAAAAAAAGATATTTCAAAAAGAAAAACGCCATTCTTCTGTATTTTGAAAGGCCTTTCTAGTAAGCAGAAATTATTTGTCATGTCATATGCACTTTAAAGTACAAGAAAACTATTTGATACGTAGCTTTTGGGGTAATTCTGTGGCTTCCTTTGTTGAAACGATTCTTTTTCAAAATCCCACGACCTAGTAAAGACTACCAAATTGCTCTATTGGCTGGACTATTGTAAGAATAGCTATCAAAACTTTCATATATCTTCTGAAAAGTTTAACTTTCCACAAATACTCAGATACATTAAGTTGACTTCTTGATCAAACTAGATAACCTTGGAAATTTTTATGTAAATTCTCTAAATGGGAGGATTAATTTTTACTTTGGCCATTTTGGCGCGAAACTATGAATGGGTTTCATGACACAAAAACATGCTGCTATGGCAGTATTATCACTTTTTACCCATATCGCATGACTCTGCACAACGACAGTCGCGCAGATCGCTCAACATGTGAGAAAGAAAATTATTTAGAGATGATGGATAAAGATCTTGGCAAACTGTATGAAATCCTGGACTGCCAGCAAAAGAAAAGTAAACCTGGAGATGAATTGAAAGAATCTGTGATTGCACTCGAAAGAAAGTACACACACAAGAAAAGAAAAGAATTCATTTGGAAAGTAATGTCCACATGGGTTTTGCATATCCGAAGACCTTCCATCATCCGCAAAGCTACCAAGCTGTGAAGACAACAGGAAATGACGTCTGGCTCTATAATGCAGGACCCAGGTTGAAAGCAGTTTCTATAACTGAAATGGTCATCCTGCATAAACATGTTTATTTATTATTTATTATTATTATGTTGTATCATTGGCATTGGTGGGTAATGAATCGCATGCTATGCTGTTGCGATTACTTGTTGCATTTGAGCTCCCCCTCAAAATCGACTTCTATGCAAATCAACTAAAATTCACTTATTTTCCCTCTGGTGGTCACCATCCCAACAAAGTTTTAAAAAGTGGCTTTTGATCAGCCTTCTTGAAAAACTCTCTGTTAACATTTGTGATAACATAAGGAAGTCAAACTTGTTTGTTGGTAGAAAGCCTCCAGGAGTAATCTGACAGTGCACACCATACAACAAAACTAAAAAGCTTCGAAATTACTTGTATAATTTAATTTCATGGTTCAATTAATTATTAACTAATTAAACCTAGACTTAATTATAAGTTTTAATTAATTAATTAATTAAT